CCCCTCCCTCCCATGCCGCTCCTCACGCGCCCCACCCCCCCCTCGCCACCAGATCGCTCCTCTATCATAGGATCACTTTCTGCAGAAAGGTCTGGCTGTCCCTCGCTGTCTATATCTCCTGCCCAGCCTGTTGTGCCTCTGGCTGCTGGAAGTGTGTGTGCGTGTGTATATGTAGGTGTGTGCACATGCTCGTGTGCGTATTTCCATCCGCTCATTCATTGCACAAGGTATTTATTGAGTGCCTGCTGTGTGCCAGGCACCGTTGCTGAGTTCCTGTGGGTGTCTCTCTCGATGCCACCTCTTGCTTCTCTGGGGGCCTCTTCCTGTGCTTCATTGTCCCCAAATTGCTACCTCTTTGTCAGTCTGGGTGTCTCAGGTTCTGTGTGTCCTTGTGTTCCTGTCCTTGTTTCTCTGCAGGGCTGTTCTTCTGTCTCTGTCCCTTTCTTGGCCTCGGCCTCTGCCCCTTTTGACATCGCTGGTCAGCCTGGGTTTCCGTAAGGCCCCTGGTCAGCCCCTGGGCCCACCAGCGGCCCTGACCTCTCCTGACCGTCCCTTCACTCCCTCCCCGACTCTGCCCTAGGGTTGGTTCCCACAGAGCCATTTTTAGCTCCGAGCAATGTGGGAATGTGTTCAGCCTTCAAGGGCCTCTGTCTTGGTGCCCCAGTCCCTGGTCCCAACCTGAGTGCCAGGAGTTGGGGACAGGAGGATTGATGGAGTAGGGCTCCCCCCCGTGGCAGCTGGTGAGTAGGGACTGGGAGGGGGGCTCCTCCTCCTTGGAAGGGGTCAGCGAGGGGAAGACTGCCTCTCCACCAGCCTTCTCCTCTCCCCTACTAACACTGGGGACCTCGCCTCAGCTCCTCCTGCTCACTTGGGACAGGTCATTTCCCTAAGAAAATCACATCCCGCTGGCACCCGACTCCAAAGATCTAGAACAGCCCTTGGATCAGGGTGGGAAGGGAACCCCAAATCCCACAGGGGCAGATGTGGATTCTGGGCCTGCCCCCCATCTTCTCCCTGCCCCCCGCTTCCCTCCAGCCCAACTTCTCTCCAGGCTGTTTCTTTTTTTATGACTGTAAACATAGATAGTGCTTTATTTTGTTAATAATAAGATAATGATGAGTAACTTAACCAGCACATTTCTCCTGTTTACACTTGGGGGATTTTTTTGTTTTCTGTTGGCATAATAAAGACAGACCATTTCAGAATCTGGCCCTTGTGCGGGGGAGGGAGGGAGGCTGGCCCAGGTCCAGAATTTCTACATGTGCCGCCAGCCCAGCCACCACTGCCCCCTTGTGGCAACACTGGGGAGCTTTGGGCCTGGGACCTGGGAGGCCAGGGAAGACCAGACCAAGCCTCTGGAGTGACTGCCACCACCCACAGAGCCTGCACTGCGAAGACACTGCCCCTGCCTCAAGGAGGTAAGCCAGACCCTCCACAGATTGCCCACCCAGATCCTAAAAAAGGCAGTAGCGAGAGCACTGTAGGGAGTCAGGGAAACTTGGGTTCTCTCTAGAAGTAGCCACGTGGCCTTGGCAGAGGGTCCAGTGTCCCCTCTGGGCTTCATCATGCTCATCTGAAGACACCGAGGCTAAGCTTTACCCACAATTCTTGTCCCCTTGTGGAGAAGGAGCCCTTTGAAAATCTCATGAAAGCTGTGGGCCCTCATCCTGGGCTCGGGCCATCCACATGAGCCTTCTCCCATGTAGGAGGCCCCCAGGATACTGATTAATGAAGCAAGGGAGCTAGTGGTGTGCTTCAGGGCTCTGCGACCTCAGGTTTTGAAGGAGGATTTCAAACATGTATCTAAGAGGACAGTCCATTGGACTTCAAAGGGCTGATAACCAACTTTCAGAGTGCATATTGATAATGATTGATAGGGTCAAAAATTAATCCCCTTAAGGTGGAATGGAGCAGCAAAGCTGAAGGGCAATTCCAATGGAAGTTAGATTTGGGTTGGATTAAGAGAGGTTGTGTGTTCACAACCAGGGAGGTGGTAGAAGTTAGATGTGGTTGATTCCATCAAGGAATGAAGTCCTGGCCTTTTGATCTAGGGAGGGTCCTGGCTACTGGCCTTTGCTGGTTTTTCCCAGCCTACCTTCCTGGAGCTTTGGGTCTCCTCTCCTTGTCCTCACAACCCCCTGTCCTCTCCAGCCTCGCTGGCCACCCAGGGAAAGACACAGATGGTCCTCCGGAAGAGGAGCGTGGCTGACTGTGGCGCCTGCCCTCTAGCGGTCAGGGGGGAGAATTGCTCATCTTAACTTCCTCTGTCCTGGCCTCCCACCCTCTGGTCCACACCACCCCGCATACTGTGTTCCCAACCAAATCAGGGCAGTCCGTCAGGACACTCCCAGCCTGGCTCACCCTCACACCCTGCCTGCCAGTCCTGAGTTCGTCTCCCTTCCCTCTTCCCAAGTCCTCTGTGGCCTTAGGGGAGACTGAGGCCAATACTGTCCTCCTCCTACTATAGGATCCTTTATCCTGCCCTCCTTTCCAGCTGCTGGATTCACATGCCCCACATCCTCTTAGGATGGACAGAGCCCTCCACGAAGACCTCTGGTTGGAGCCCTGTCTCCCCGAGAGGCACCACAGGGTCAGGTAGGCCGGGAATAGAAGATGCTGGTCAGGACCAGGGAGGCTGGGGCGTGAGCCTCTGCTCTGCTCTGTCTCCTACAAAGGCCGAGGGTCCGAGCTCCTGCTAGACCCTAAGGAAGGTCTGAGGGAGTGGAGCCCTGCCCTCCCCCCGGAGTTGCCACAGCCTGGCCCTTGGAACCAGGGGGCAGGGGTGCTGGTTAGTCCGGGGTGGCAGTGAAAGGACAGGACTCCAGGCTTTGAGGGGGAGGGGTGTCCTGAGCTCCCCCCTCCCCCCACCTGCCCACTCCCCTGGAGAACTGGAGCAACGAGGATGTTTTCTCCAAGGCAGTGAGATGGTACCTGCCAGCTTAAGTCCTTTGGTGCAGCTGGTGGCCAGGGCTGTAGGGGCACAGGATGGTACCCGGGGGGCCCTGTCCCAGCCAGCTCCTGCTCACCACTGCAAACCGTCTCCAACGCTGTGACATCAAGGCCCCAGGAGGCTGGGAACGAAGCTGCCTTCACAGTGGTTATTTCTGCCCTCAGCTCCACAGGTGGCTCTGAGAGGAACAAGGAGGGTGGGCACTGCCATTTAGTTCACGAGAAGGCCCCGTGCATGAGCACCTGACCCCGCGGTACCCCTCAGGGGCCCTACCTGCCCAGCCCTGGCACGGTCCCCAGGCCGGGGCACATCCTTCCCCGCGTCCTCCGTGACTACCCTTCCTGGGCTTGGGACGGCTGTGCCTGGGGGCCCCGGCCATACTGGATCACCGTGACCTTGAAGGCCCCAGCTGCTGGGGCCAGCTCCGCTCCAGCGGTTGCCATGACATCCGGTACTTTTGTCGGCAAAAACCAAACAGCCAGAGTCTACCTGGCAGGCGGCCACTGCTGTTGCCACTCTTAAGGGCACCGGGTACCTTCTGGGGGGCCGCGGAAGGAGTGCAGCCATAGCAACCTGGGCTGCTCAGAGGGGGCAGCCCCGCTCACCTCGGAGCTTCTCTCCCGCCCCTCCGGCCTTGTGAGAAAGCGACACCTCGGGTCCAGAAATCATCCTTGCGGGCTAGCCAGCAGGACAGCACCCTTCCCCCTCAACAGCTAGGAGCCAGCGGTGGCCCGGGAGGGAGTCTCGAGTGCTCCCCCTTCAGGGTCTCACTGCTTCACCCCCTGCCAGGAAGCCACAGCCTAGCTCCCCGGTAGCAGCACCCTCCTGGGGTCAACTTCTAGCCAGACGGTCAAAGGCAGAAGAGCAGGGAAACCAGCAGGCCAGGCCTCGGCGAGCCAGGCGCACGGAGACCGGGGTGGAAAGACCATGAAGAAGCAGGTTGCAGCACCCCCCAACCCCCACTGCAGGAGAACTAGTCATACCCTATACATCAGATCCTCACCATAGGCACTCAGACACCAGAGTGGTCCAGAAATGGCCATTTTAATGCAGAAAACCATGAGAATTTACAAATGAGTCACTTTTTGGGCCAGAGCCAGGAGGCCGTGAGGGCAGAAAGGAGGTGGCGGCCGTTGAGAAGCTGGGGCCATGAGCTCAGCACCTTCACGACCCCTCCGACCCAGGCCCTCGTGTGCCCGGGCGAGCCCTGGAGGTCCCCCGGCCCCTGCCCCTTAGCGCCCACTAATTTCCTAGTGGGAAGACCTTGGGTCAACTTTAGGACAGAAGGTAGACAAATCTTGGAAACGAGGGCCTGGAGGGCACAAGGCAGGAGTCTGCTGGCTGCTGTTGGCCACCCCACCCATTGCTACACCCCCTGGGGCCAAGCACGAAGCAAAGCCGGGCTGTGGAGCCCCAGGACATCACCCCTCCCTTGCCTTCCCTCCTGGTGGGTGGCAGAGGGACCGAACACAAGCAACGGAGCAAAAAGGGTGAGGGAGGGGAGCACAGGTCCTGGGGCTGAGGTCTGGGAAGGGGCTGTTTGACTGGATCTGGCTTGGAGAAAGGGAGGGATCTCAGATGAGGCGGCTTGGGGGGGAGCCGTCAAACCCAGTTCTAGACCATCCCCCCAAGCTATGTACATCCATCTGTCAGAGATGGCATGATGCTGGTTTGGGTTCAGCACCTCCCACGTGGGGCATGCAGGGGGAGATGGGCTGGAGGCTCAGGGCACTGGAGGTAGAAAGGAGCCCTCCCACCTTCCCCTTTCCCCTAAGCCAGGAAGGTCAAAGACACATCTAAGGCAGCCCAGATTCCAGCATGGCCCGAGGCCGTGAATACTGGGCTTCCCAAGGGGTGGTTGTGGTCCAGGCCCCCCGCCGACTACAGGCACTTCCCCAATCTCCCCACCCCACCACCCCCCAATCTGGCAAGGTGAAGGGGACCCCCCCAGAGCCGGGGCGTCTCAGCCCCTCCCAACAAAAGAATGTGGTCTCCAGCAGCTTCCACTGGGGGCAGGGGCAGGGGCGGAGCCTTCGCCCTGGACACCCACCTGTCCCCTCTCCCACCTTGTCCGAGGGCGCGGACCCCAGGGCAGAAGTGAACCCTGGAGCACAGGTCCTGCCAGGCATGGGTAGGGGAGAGATGGGGAAGCTGGTCACTTTGGCATCTCCAAGGCTGACACCTGGGGCTTCACCTTGAAGTACTGGTGGAATCGGATCACTGCGTACCTGCCAGGAGACCAGAGGGAGCCTGGAGTGAGAAGAAAAGCCACCGGGCCCCACTGGGGGCGCTCACACCACAAGGAAGTCTCACCAGCTCAACCCCAGGGCAGACGGATGTTTTGGTTTTTTTTTTACTTCAACTATTTTATTTTTCTTCTTAGACTGGAGCCGCTCTTCCCCAATTTTTTTTTAAGAGTTCAGCAGTGTTAAGTACATTTATATTGTTATGCAACAGATCTCTGGGACTTTCTCGTTTTGCAAAACTGAAACGCTGTACCCATGAAGCAGCAACTTCCCATATCCCCCTCCTCCCAGCCCCTGGCAACCACCCCTCCACTCCGTTTCTTTTTTAAATTTCAAGCAAACTCCACCGCACAGTTGGGGCTCGAACACACAACGCTGAGATCAAGAGTCACAGGCTCTAGTGACTGAGCGCCCCCTAAGTTATTATTAAATAACTAATTTAGTTATTTCATGAAAGTGGAATCCTACGGTATTGATCTTTTGGGGACTGGCTTGTTTCACTTAGTACCATGTCCTCAAAGGTCATACGTTGTAGCACGTGACATGATTTCCTGTCTTTAAGAGGCTGAGCAATATTCCATCGTCGGTGCATACCACATTTTGTTTATCTACTCAGCCAGCCACGGCTGCCTCCTGGCTGTTGTGAATAATGCTATCAACATGGGCGTGCAGGTATCTCTTTGACACCCTGCTTTCCATTCTGGCCACGTACCCAGCGGTGAGAACGCTGGATTGCACAGGAACTCTATTTTTAACGTTTTAAGGAAGCACAGCATGGTTTTCTCCAGCAGCTGCACGGTTTTACGTTCCCCCCAGAAGGGCCCAAGGGTTCCAATTTTCTGCGTTCTCACCAACACTGGTTTTCTGTTTGATAGCAGCTGTCCTGACGGGCGTGAGGTGACAGCTCACGGTGGCTGTGCTTTGCATTTCTCTAATTGTTGTGAACCCTGTGAAGCCAGGTGGGGGGAGGAAAGGGCAAGAAGACTGGACCAGAATGGAGGACAAAAAGGACTCCCGGTCCTTAGGGACATCTGTACCTTACAGGGTAGAGCCAGCGGTCAAGATCCAAGTATGGTTTCAGTACAGACCCTAATACATCACGGAAGGAGGTCCAACAGCCCACACAGTAAGCGCTAAACCCTGAGTGACCTCACTGAGCCACCTCCACTCTCTGGAACTCTGTCCCCTCCGTTACGGAATGGACAGTTCCATTCAGCAGCAGGCCCCGTGGCTACGAGCGCTGGCAGGAGAGCAGGGGCAGTAGAAGAGGTCGTAGGATGTAGTAGGAAAAGCAGTCTCCCACCAGGCACGAGGGGAGGGTTCGAGAACTTCCACTTTCAGAGTGGTACTCTCGGCTCATGTGTTTCCCCTAGAGTGGTGACCTCACCGGCTACGGGCTGGCTGGAATGGGAGCAAGTTAGCAGACCAGAGGACGGGACTTTGGATGCTCTCTCTGGCCTGTTCTCTGCCCCCACGCCCTCGGCTCAAGCTTTTCCTTTCCCCCCCACTCTCTGCCGCCCCAACTTGGCCCCTGCACTCACCTGAGGAAGTCAAAGTCGATGGTGGAGAACTGGTTCTGGATGAGGGCCCAGAGTGCCCAGAAGAAGTGAGACGCCTGGAAACAGACCAGAGTCAGTCAGCAGGGCAGTCACCCACTGCTGTAACGGACCCCACGCAGCTAGAGGAAAGTCACTCTGGGAGACACGGAAGTAGGCTGCTGGCGGAGACACGATGGGGTCTCCCCAGCACAGGTCAGGGGAAAATCTTGGAGGTCAGGTCACTGGACAGCGTTTGGGGGCTTCGCACCCTTGGGAAAAAGGTGGAGTCGATTCTACTGCTCCAGGAAGGGGTCGGCAGGGTGGTGCTTCCAGGGCCCTCGCTTGTCCCCCAGCCTGGACAACGCCATCCCTGGCTTCTCCCCTGCCCGCGGGAGTCTCCTGGGGTCTTCAAGGCCAAGGTATCCAGGATGAAATGAACCCCTGCACCAGATCACAGGCTCAGTCCCGTGATCATCAGGAAAGACCCCCTTAACTGTCCTTCACCCCTTTCCCTCTTCTGTCAGGAGGTGGGTTGGGTTGGAAAAGGAGTGATGTGTGAGCAAGAAGGTCCTGTGTCTGGGCTTTGACTAAGCATTCAACTGCTCTCCCCAGGGCCAGAAGCACCCTCGGGGCCAGGCCACAGCAGTGACATTACTATCCCAGGCCAGGGCCCCCTACCCCCACCCCATGTCCTCTGGGGTTGGCTATATAGCCCCTCCCTCCGCTTTGCAGGACCTTCCGTGGGTACAGACCAATTACCAAGTACAAATGATTACTAAAAAATGGTAGCAAGAGAAAGGCATAAGTGGAAGAGTTCAGAGGAAGAACCTGATGGAGAATCAGTTTTGTGCCAACGAGGGAAACAGGAGGCAATCCAAAATGACAGGTAAGATTCTACTTAAGCTCCCCTGAGGTATTAGGAAACCCGGAGCAGTGGGCTTGTCTTCTTGCTTATGCAATGGCTGGCATTACTAAGCCTAGCTGGCAATCCCCTGGACACACGCCACGGAGACCTGGTACCCTGGATAAATGCCACTCAACATCAGCTCAGTACCGTGTGAGCAGGAAGAGCCTGACGGGAGAGGCTTACACAGAGTTCTGAGTCAGCAGAGGTAGTTAACAAGGAGGATTAGAACTGACATTCCTTATCTTCTCCAAAGGCAAAGAAAAAAAAAAAAAAAAAACCACAAGCATTTAA